TTCTTCTCTTCTTCTCTTCTTCTCTTCTTCTCTTCTTCTCTTCTTCTCTTGTCTTAATCAAAACCTTATAACGGATACCCGATTAGAATTTCATAGATTCTGGACCATTTTGACGTTGATGCGATATACTTTTCTTGTCTTGCTATGGCTGCTATGTCCATACGTTGGGTTCTGGGTCTAAAGTGTACGATCATGTTATCAGCCTGCTATGTGTGATTATGTGTGATAAGTGTGCTTGCCACGAGGTGTACTCGTGTTGTAGCCAATAAGGCAATCCAAAAATGCCATGTTGTATTACTATCCCTAAAAGTTCTTGGAGTATATTCCATGTAAACGTCCATTACTGGTCTCCAGGCCAACCCGCCTTTACCCTAGGGTATGTCGGCCATGGACAATGCCACGGGTGGGTGTGAGGTGCCTCCGCTACTCTTTTATATGGGACTGTTGATCTAGTACAACTTAGCAACAAAAGGTATAGCTTTGGAGTTACAAGGATCTCGGGTAAAAATCAGGTCCTGCAAGACCTTGCTCTCAGGAAATAATTTCTACTCCTTAGGGTGAGGAGATAAGCTAGCAGGTACTATCGGATCGCCGAGGTACTCCTTGGTTGCTATTTTGTGTTGAAGCTCAGATCAATATATGCATGGAAGGGTCCTCATACGGCTGTGGTTATCTGGTGGCCATGTTCCTAGAGGAATAGAGTGATTTGGTCTGGAGCTGACCGGTTGATGATGTTTCTATTGATGATGGTAATGGTACAAGTCGATTATCGTAATAGTACAAGGTGAGTATGATACAAAAGACAATGCTATCTAAGCTTCTTAGGTTCGACGCTATATTCACCAGCTCGGAACGAGGTCAACGTCCCCCCAAGCAAACGATTCAACTGCACGACGTTGATCTCTGTATTGTTATCTTTCTGATACTCCAGAATAATCTCCCACAGGGTGATAGGGGAAAGACAACGGATCCGCACGTCGCTCAGGTCATAGTCTAGGTTCTCCTGGAAATTAGACACGGGGTCTAGTGGTTTGCCGGCGTCTTCTCCCGGCCGACCGTGGACAGTTTTGGGAAGATCGTCAAAGTTGGGCTTGGGCGTTCTGGTAGCATGCGCTGCTAGGCTAGGGATGGCGCGAACGAGGTCGTTGATGGGCCGGCTAGGGAAGAGAGAATTGAGGAGCTCGGAGACGGGCATTGCGCCGCGGCTGCCGAAAATGAGGGAGACGGCCTCGTAAATGCGGAACAGGTTGGCTCTGGAGGCTTCGTCAACCTGGCTGGTAAGGCGCATGACGGGGGAATTGGCGTCAGCCTCGAAGTAGATCATGGTCATGTCAGTTTCTCTCGGGTAGAGTTCCTCGGCCTCGATGTGGAGGGGTTCAAACGGGCGCCGGTCCCAGAGGAGGACTGCCTCATCGAAGGAGCCGGTGGAGAGCGCGCTGCGGGCGTCGTCGATCATGTTCGGGACGTGGTGGAGGACCTCGAAGTGGACCTCGGAGCTTAGCTTGGTGACTTCGGCCTTGAGGGAAGCGATCTGGCCCAGAATCGGCTGGAGAGCTTGCAAGTCGGCGGTGGGATCCGCGGCCTTATGCGACAAGGACCGGTTGAGCTCGTCTATCTGGATCTGTTTGTCTGCCAGTTCTTTCCGAAGGAATGAGTTTCGATTGTCATATCTCAATTGGATGAGTGCCCTCTGTTTCTTTTTCTTCAAAGCGGTATCACTGGGAGATTCCTCCGCAGTCTTAATCGTTTTCAAGATCCTGTCGTGCATATCGGTTTTGATGCGAGGGACATAAGGATAAGGAGACTGCCCCGGCTCAGAAGCCTCTGGAGCCAAGGGGATCGGCGGGGCTTGTCGTCCTGCAGGAACTACAATATTGTTTTGCGCGCTCCTTTCACCGACCCGTGCCGCGTTGGCAGCTGCTAGGTCCCATCCTTTGGCCATAGTCCAGGTGTTTTGATCCTGGGTTGATGCGACTTCAAAGGCGTGCAATGCGACATTTTCCGTCACCAAAGCCGGACGGCTACGGTGGGACACTGACCGTGGAAGGATCGTCTGCGCCTCAAACAAAGGAAGTGTGGCAATAACACGGACACTTCCATATGTATGGAGACCGGACTGCCGCATACAGGCCTCCATGAGGGCCGACCATGACCGTGCCGGTGTGTAGTGATCTAGTTTGGAAGCGTTCGGAGGTACGTTGGCCAAAACCAGTAACGCCTCGTTTTTAGCCAACACGCCCGAAGCATCGCAGTTGGAGAATCCCTGTTCTGGTAAATGTTCAGCGAGAAAGCCGTGCCAGTCCTCATCGAGATCGTGTATATCTTGCGAAACTAAACTGTAGCAGGGGTTGCTTTCGGCAAGAGCCTTGAGCATCGGCCCGAAGACTTTGATATTGGGTTCCACAAGTACATGGCGTCGGGGCCGCAGAAAATCGTTCACCTTGGACGACCATAATCCAGCACCGGGCCTGAGATCAAGGACATCCACTGGAGCTTTTCGAAGGAGATACGGCCCGAGGCGTTGAAGGATGTCATCTGCGACAAGGCGTATCAGCATCGCTCACGAAGTTGTTTTATTCTCATTCCACATCACTGACCACATAAGCTCTCGCTGACGATCTCCGGTTTTTGTAGCCTCTTTCTCTTCAGCGGGTTGGGTATGTGTTTCTGCAGAAGTCCTGTTATCGGAAATCGAGCGAGCGGCGCCCATCGGTTCGGCTTCATCTTGCTGATGCGCGCTCAGTGCGACTGAATGAGATCTAGTCAGTCAGATATATCACAGTAAAAACAATCAAACCCGCACAGCAGCTCCATGCTGATTTGTGAGTAGTCTTCCTGTCTGAATAAATTATCTAAGGTATGCAAAAAGTTGTCGGAGAAGTGATAGCGGAGGAGGGGAGCTTTGAACTTGAAGCTCCGCCGGCGGGATCATCAGTAGTCAAGTTTCCCCGTATCATCAAGTCCCACTCTTCATCTGAAACCTTCATGCGTATAGCATATTTCCTCCATCTCTGACTCCGATCCTCTACTTTTCCAAAGCTGTGATCACCAGCCCCGTATGTACCGCCTGAGATTCCGTGCTACCAAGGTCTGGCTGCCTAAATGAGGCCTCCCCCACCATAACATCAGCTGGTCGTTGCGCCAGAACTGAATCACATCACTCTTGACCTGATCGTTCTTGTCTCTGAAATTACCTGGACTGGGACCATCAGATAACAAATTTCCGGAAGCCTGACCAATAAACGTCTACTTGCCCCAAGCACATCATGGCTTCCCATCCACCCACGCCCGGCATGGGAGCGTCACCACCTCAGAGCGTGGAAAAGATCACACGGATTGCGCAAGACTACGAGTATAACCCCCTTATACCACTACGGAACTGGCTGAGGACCGCATCCACACTCCTCAGAGAGGTAGGATACCCAGCAACCTTCTCTTCTTTCAACACTAACTCTGTGCTCCATCCTAGGCTCGAATATACGAACGGGAAGGCCATGACGAGCAAACATACCTACTGTTATTTCGACACGCACAACTAGTACTCGTAAACCTAGCAAATCACCCCGATGCTAAAGATGAAAAGTACAGAAAGGCTCTCATGGAGGCCGAGAAGGAGGTCCGGATTAATCTCGGGAAATTAGAGGCGCTGAAACCCCGGATCAACAAACGATATGAGCGTTACGCCCAGTTGATGCGCGAACGTCAAGTTCGGACTTCGCATCAGGAAACAACCTCGTCGAACCAGGCGCAACCATACGACCCCGCGTTGGCGGGAGTAGTCGAACCTTTGGAGGCAGGGAAGAACAGAGATTTGGCAGTGCAGCTTGCACGAACGGAGATTAGCCGGAGGGCGACCGTCAGGAAAGCCTTGCGCCAGGCTGGTGTATCACTAGAAGAGGAGCAAAGTCGGCGCACGGCGGGTGTCTGGAACAATTGGGAAGATGCTGTGGATAAAAATGGACGCGGGATGGATAATGACCTGAGCCGCCGGATTCAAGATGTGAGACTCAACATCGACCAGCAAACTCACACGAACGCTCGTCCGCAGCAGCAAAGGAAACCTGCACAGCCGTCCACTAGCACGTACAAGTATCCCTCCGTCCCTCGAACAAAACCGCTGGAGCCTTTGCCATCTGCGTCGACAAACGTGTCCCGAGATGGACACAGCTTGCGCTTGGAAGCTCCATTGCCACCGCCAAAGGAGCGATTCGAATCAAGCCATCCGACATTTACTGACGGAGCGTCCCCACCATCACTGCCCGACAAGGTCTCGTCGACTCCAGCTCCGGCTGTTCCAGAGAAAGGACAGCCTTTGGCAGATGGCGGAAACTCACTTCCAGACCTGAACCCCTCCAGCTTCACATTCAAGCCGTCGGCATATCTAGAAAACGGGACACCGTTGCGCACCATGTGGTTACCTCCCGATCTACGGACACATTTCCTGGCCATAGCGGCTCCCAACACGCGTCGCAACCTAGAGACGTGCGGCATCCTTTGCGGAACTTTGATTTCGAACGCACTGTTTGTCTCCAGGCTGCTTATTCCAGAACAAACGGCCACGTCAGACACATGTGAAACCGTAAACGAGTCGGCAATCTTCGACTACTGCGATTCCGAGGATCTGATGGTGCTAGGCTGGATCCATACGCACCCCACACAGACTTGTTTTATGAGTTCCAGAGACCTCCACACGCATTGTGGATACCAAGTGATGCTGCCGGAGAGCATTGCGATCGTTTGCGCGCCGAGCAAATCCCCCAGTTGGGGTGTGTTCCGACTCACTGATCCCCCGGGGCTTAAGACGGTCCTGAACTGTACGCAGAGTGGGTTATTCCACCCCCATGCGGAGGCTAATATTTACACCGATGCGCTGCGACCCGGTCACGTCTTTGAAGCCAAAGGGTTGGAATTCGAGACTGTGGATCTTCGCCCAAAGGAATCCCTGGTTTGATGTTTGATGTTGCGATGTACTATGCATGATATGGCTTGCTATTATGATACCATCTCCAGTGATTTGCTGTTTGTCCTCCGCTTTAGAATCATTGCTATGTCCAGCATACATTGCATTTTATGACAACAAGATGTTACTACTTTGCTCGCACCCCTACATCCCTTATAGACAGGCAGTCAATTAATTTAGCAATTGTTCGACGGGTCGAGACTACCTACTATACCATCTCATTACAGGTCCCAATTACCAACATGAACTTTAGTCAAGTATGTATGCATGCTCTCCATTCCTTTGTACATTATCGTACATTACATACATCTTTCATCCAGCATGGCCGGTGGCCTTTGACTCATCCACTCATTCCTGCAAAATCCTGCTTCGAGACCGAGACCGAGAAGGAGCGCGGGAGCGCGATCTCGAGCGACGCCGCGCACCAGAACCTGCGCTATACTGACGCCTTCGCTCGGGAGTGGGCTGTCGCCGAAGTCGCGAGCCCCTACGGTTCCCCGGAACGGTAGTCGTTTGCTGTGTGGCTCGTCTGTCTGCCGGACCAGCGGTCATATTGATACTTCTTGTTCTTGGCCCGACGGATCGTTCAAAGATATGTTGCTGAGCGCGCGAGCGATGGTTAATAATTCTTCGCAATAAAGGTCTTAATATGCTATGGATGAGTGCTTGCTGTGCGCTTTAATGCTGAGAACAGCGCATCAATATATAGCGGCTGTTGCTGGGGCGAAAGTCATTATGGCGTCGTTTGCCTCATTTCGGAGGTACAGTCCGCCTGGCCTCTTAGCATTTTATCTGTATCTGAACCATGGCTTCTTTGATGACTCCGAGAATATGGAAATGGGGAGAAGAGACCAGAGGGAAGCGGGTGGTGGCTGTAGATCTGTCACTGCAGCTGTGAGATAACCTATCAAATCCAATCAGTTAGTTGAATTGAACATCTGCTTCTTACAGCATTCAACAGTGAACATGAACACGTTCAATCGCATTTCTGTATATAGTTTTGGTTTGTCAACAGGCTTTCTACCGAGGATGGCCGTAAGCTTGGTGATCATGCCACCACTTGCCGTCCACAAAAAGTAGTCTCGGCATCAGCATTGCTTGTTTGCCATTTCTTCCCGTGTTTGTCCTTAACTGATAGTAGAAAGCATCTGAATTAAATCCAGCAATGTCTGAGGAAGATAGCAGCATACCTTAAATGCGCATCATTCCTCGAGGCGGATGGAAGTGATAAGAATTGGGATCAACAGCTGCGTCGTCGTCGTCGTCGTCTTCTCCCCCACATTACTATTATTAAAGCCATCATCACCATCTCCGCTTGAGCTGTTTCACTTTTGCCTGTATTCTTTTTTCTGTCCACTCTTGGTTTTTTCTGCATAGCTTTCTCCATCTCAATTGAACAGAGTCCTTAATGATCTCCTCCATTCGTCTATTCTTTTAGATAGCCTGGCCTGCTGAATCTCTTTTATCGCTGTCCGCATGTCGTCCCTCTCGCAGGGAGATTCGCCCTCATCGACTGCCACCCCATCTCTGTCCTCATCTAGCTCGGCATCAGGATCTCGCACTCCGAAAGCAAACACTCCCTTTAATCAATCGGCCGCGTCGTACTTCTCCTACCCTGTCACACACGTCGTCTCAGGACTCTACCGCCGCTTAACAGATCCCAACATCGCCAAAGCATCACGCAAGGACAGCAACAGTCCCAAGAAGAACATGTACGCCAGAAACAACCACAGCCCGTCCACAACATCCCCAGATGTCTTCGTCCCTATTCGCACTGCGTCACCCTTCCAACCACCACCCCTCACGCCACTAACCCTCACCCCCGGCGCTGGTATCCCCCAACAACAACTCCTCACCCGCGCCCTGGCCGAAGAAATCCGCCTGCTGGTCCCAGCCCGCCTCCAGCTCGTCGACACCTGGCGCCTAGCCTACAGCCTCGATCGCGACGGCGCCTCCCTCACAACCCTTTACGAGCACTGCCGCGAGTTCTCGCACCGCAGCCCGCGGGCGGGCTACGTACTCATCGTCCGCGACTCCTCCCCCGCCGGTGCCGTCTTCGGCGCCTACATGACCGATCCCCCACACCCAAACTCGCACTACTTCGGCACGGGCGAGTGTTTCCTCTGGCGCGCGAGCGTCCTGCCCTCACCGACGAACCTGCTGAATATCCACGGCCCGCAGTCCGAGGAAATGCTCGAGCTCGCCGGCCTGCCGTTGCCCCCCAGTGCGGATACAACGCATGCGGGCCGCTCGACAACACTACGTGGTGACTCGAGAAATCACGGCGATGGCCGTCTCGCGGCTCCGCGGGCCAATGGCGTGGCTGGGGCTGGGGCGGCGAGTGGTGCCAGCACGCCTGAAAGGATCCGGTTCAAGGCCTTCCCGTATAGCGGCGTGAATGATTACATGATGTTCTGCGAGACCGGCTTCCTTAGCTTAGGTGGAGGGTGAGTTCCTTTCTTCCAACGTACCTGGTGCGTCACTGGTAGACGAAAGTCGGCGGCTAATGTGCAACAGAGACGGTCATTACGGGCTATGGGTAGACTCGAGCTTGGAAAAAGGCGTCAGTGCCTCATGTCAAACGTTCGGGAACGAGCCTTTGTCCGACGAAGGCGTCAAGTTCGACGTCCTCGGTGTGGAGGTGTGGTATGTCGGGGCGTGAGTTCATAGGTCCCGGGTCTCTCTTACGCTTTTCTTCCGTATAATACCCTGCTGCGATGCGTGCTGGCTCTCCATCGTGCATAGTTATGATTGCATTACTTCGATCTTGGCATCTTAATTGAAGAAACGAAGGGTGAAGAAGATGAAACCTAGTAAGATAGCTGAGCGTGAAATCCACGCTCTAATGTGGCTGTAGCAAGTCCGTTGATCAAAGTCATATTCTTCCTAGCTACATAAGCTAACTACAGTAAAGATAGGTCATGCTAACATCTGATGTCAAAGCATGAACCGGCCACTAATCTTCCTTCGCGTACTCCATAGCTGTACCATCATTACAGCGATTGACCATTATTCTTTTACATCAAGACATAGACTATGGGTGAATAAAACCTGGAAGATAGAATTGTAAAAACGAAAAGACAACAGCAGGGGGTATGCGGTCAATAACACATCAAAGAAATCATAAAATGATACGATAAGAGAAAGTTCATCAACCTTGCGATCCCAAGTATCTAATAGGGAGAATTGACAATATCGTCTCTTCCCAATCGGCTGCCCCATCGAGTGCTACGACGGCTCGGCGTCACAGGAGGCCCTGCGATGCTTTCCCGAGTGGGTTTCTGGAAAGTTCTCTTCGCGACCATGTTAACTTCATTCGGCAGGGCAACAATGACGTTTTTGTCCGAGCCAAATCGGAAGTTATCCGCCATGACATCTTCTGCATAGCGCTTGATGGTGTAGGGGTCTTTCCGGCCGGCAATCACCTTCTTCAAGCTCCAAGTGACAATGAAAGGACCAGTGGCAGTGACAATAGATGTCTCCTGAGACTCAACACCGGTGTTGAAACGCGCTGGTGTGAAAGAGATGGGCTTCTTAGTTTCATGCTGGAACTGGGCGACGTGCGCAGGAGTGAGACCTAAACGGCGAGGCTGTGGTTTCGAGTCTTTGGCGAAGGAGCGCTCGAACCCAAGCTTGCCTTCGTTCTTGCCTTCTTTCTGGAGCGAGTCGATGAGCAACAGGTAGGTTCGGCAGGTAGCCAAGACCCAGCGGCCATCGGCAGACACATCCAATCCGATGATGGGCTCTCCCAAAGCAGGTATGTGCGTCTTGGCATTGATACCCAAGCGGTCGAACATGCGGATATCGCCCTTATTGGAGGCAACAGCAATGTATCCCTTCTCAGTGGTGGCCACTGCGGAGAAGTCGTTCTTGCTCGCGTACTGTTTCAGGTCCGCATCTACCAGTTTGGCTCCTGCCAATCGAGGATCAATGCGGTAGAGTGCGTTCTGCGAGACACCAATGAACGGCTGAGCGGAGGTCATCTGGGCGAATTTCTGCAAGACGTCAGTTAGATCGATGGTGTCAAACGAATAGGCGTGGAGAATGTAAACTTACGTTTTCTGGTGCAAATGTGGTCACCGGGATATCGTCATGCACCTTCCATTCATCAACGACCTTGCCGTACTCGAGATCCATACGGTACAGCGAGTGCGGGTCCTCGCCATTCTGGAGGATCATATTGCGGTCCTCAGCATGCAACATGACCTTCTTCGGGCTAAAGAGCTTTCCCTTAGGCGTCTCGACCTTAGAAATATTGGTCGAAAACTCCAGGTTGTTATCTGGTGTATGCTTGAAAACCCCAATCTTAGATCCACGGACAACGAATGATCGATCGTGCTTGTAGCCGACAGCCAGTTGAGAATTGACATTGCCATCATCATCACGCGTAATGACATCCTCCTGCTCTTCGTCTGAATCGTAGTGCTCGCTGCGTTGACCCTCGTCCTGCTCTTCCTCCTCTTCATCCACGGCCTCGGCCTCCTCCTGCTCTTCGGTCTCGGCATCCTCCATTGTAAGGTCCTGAAAAGCATCCAGCACGTACTCGCGATCATTCTCCTTGACCTTGGCCCATTTCATTTCGTTCAGCTGTTCCCAAAGAGCCTGCATTAGGCCCTCTTGAAACCTCTCTTCTGTGGCCTGATCCTTGAACCGGAGTAGCCATGAGTAAGCGGATCCGTCTTCACCGTAATGATTGAATATGAATGACAGGTACTCAAAATTGAAGACCGGGTTGATGTCGGCAACGACCGCTTGACCAAGCCATTCCTTATCCTCGCCACTGATCTGCAACCAATAGTGCCAGGTGCCCACTTCAGACACAGTGGCAACCACATTGGGGTCCTGAAGAATGAAAGTCCCGCTGGAGAAGTCGAAAAGGTGCAATTCCGCCTTTTCCTTTGCGAGAATCTCCTTAGCCTCTGGCTGCACCGCAGAGGGCGGGGCCACTGTACGTTCCTCCCCTTCCCCAACTGGCTTTATGAAGCCCTTCGACCGCGAATACTCGACATCACGAGCCATGGCGGCAGCGGACTCTCCGGCGGACGCTACCGAGTGTGCGCGTGATTTGACTGGCGAGGAAATTGGGCTGGCGGCAGGGATTGACTTCTCTTCCTTGAAGGAGAATTCCTGAAGCTCTTGCTCCGTTGCTCGCTGGGCGCTCTTCCTGTATTTCCTCTCGTACTGACACTGCCACGCTGCTAATTCGAAGGTGGAGACTTTGTCTGCAGGCACAGATGGGTCGCAGACAAACTCGAAAAGATCACCGGCGTCGCCACTCAAATCATTCCAAGCTAGTATTTTCGAACCCCCTTCGCGGGCTACAACACGGAAGTGCAAGCCTTGGTCAAGCAGGAATACCTTTTCGTCCTTGTCTAGACTGTCGCTGGCGCCTTGTTCATCCTCGTCATCGGCAAGCTCCTCCTCACCTTCCTCGTAGGCGCGCTGAACGACGAGTTGGTACTGAAACTCCTGGCCGGTGCGTCGAATAGTAGCCGCGGCGTCTTTGAAGATGAGCTCGGAGTAACCCTTTGGAGAAAGAGGGCGGACCAAATACAGTTGGCCTTGAGGGATCTCGATAATGGATTCTTTAGAGGTGTCTCCAAATAGGAACTTGCTCACTGTGATGTCACCGAAATTAGTTAGCTGAATGTCACGATGCACAAGAAATGATCCCAAAATGGATGTGAGATAACGTAAGGAGGGGTAGATGGCGGGGTAGAGTGAACGAGTTGGGTAGAGGTTGAAAACAAGAGACAGATCTGAGAGAACATACCATTACGGAGCATGAACATAGCTGGAGAGTTCAGAAGGCTGCTACCTAGAAAGGAGCAGCTGATTATTCCTTACTAGTACGTAGTGCTTAGAGGCACGCAGTCGGCAAGGAAGGTAATGTCAGGGGGCGAAAACACAAGGAAAGAAACAGAATCTGTGAAAAATAAAAGGAATGTTTTAGTAGAAGAGATCCAACATCACCAGAAAATAATGATGAAATTCAGCAGTGGATCTCTTTTCTTGAGAACTAATCCTGTTGAATATCTGGCTCTTGTGATGCTCGTCCTTGCAAGGGGAGAATCACCACATGTTTTCTTTCTGTTGATCTGCCGTCATCGATCGGCTCCTGTGGCAACCAGTGTGGCGTAACATTGTGGCTGTGCTGATCAAGTGGCAGATGAGACTAGCCGTATATGGATTATGGTAGGCATAACTATTGGAATAAGAATTAGGTATCTACCATTAACAGGTATTATTGGGTTGGATAGGTAGATCATTCATACATTAGTGGTGTACATAGCGTAATAGGACGGAATATATACAGAGCTAAGTTACCTGTACAAAAACACAGGTTACTCTTCGTCCGCAGCATCTTCTCCATCTGGCCCAGCTTCCGCAGCTTCGACACTCTCGCGTGCTGTTTGATCTTCAGACTCATGGTCTGCTGATTTCAACTTGCCCCCTTTCCTTTGAGGAATGACTTGAATAAATGCTTTCCCCCAGTCACCCAGCTCCAACCACCGAACCATAATCTCCACGACATGGTTCGTTGCCAGTACCTGACGGTGGGCCATCTGAATATATTCTCCGATGGGTAGCTTGGCGGTCTTGATACCCTTGGCTACCGCAGATTTATAGCAGATGCCCTTGTGGCGGTTCTTGTCCACCAAACCTCCAATAATATATGTGCTGTAGGGCTTCAATTCGGTCAAGATGTTGGGACTGTCGCTGCTGAGGTAAACAATCTCTCCATCCTCAGGCTTCGCGTCCACCTTGTCAGCGAAAACGCCTGCCAGTTCGCCGCCTTTAGGTCCCTGCATCCACTCCTTTGCCATCTCGGAAGCTTCGGCGAAATCCTCCTGTAGAAATCGAACGCCTTTCCAGTTCTCGTGGGTCTTTCCCAGCACCGTGTCGAACCGCTCCTTGAGCAACTTGTTGAATGATGAAACGATCAGATGCGAGCGGAAGGGGGCCCTGCTGTTATCGGAGTAGGATCGCGTAATCTGCGCACCGAGGGATACCCGCTCCTTGTCCAGCATTAAATCGTCGTAACTGCAGTCGAGCACGAGTGTGACTGGGAGCAGAGTCGACCGTTGGAACTTCTTTTGTGTAGGCTCCAATGTCTTTCGAGCTTCTTCTGTAGCTTCTGCGCCCTCTTGTTTCGCGTGTTCTAAAGCGGCTCGCCTTCGTTCCCTTTTTGCAACCAGCTTTTCTTTGCGTTTCACTTTGCGCTGTTCCCGCATTGATTCCCAGTGCTCTTTTCGTTTGAGTTTCTTCAATTGATTCTTGGACATTGCGGGCAGCGCCTCCTTTCTGTGTGCTTCTTGCCCCTCTTCAACTCCAGCTTGTTCTGAATCGTTCTCGTTCCCATTGTCCGACGTCGAGGCATGGTTGTCGGCATCTGCATTCTCAGCGTCATCGTCGCGGACGGCTCCCACGGCGCCAGTCATGACGGGCTCTGATTCTTCCCGCGCTTCGTCGTGGTCTAATTTGGGGTATTTTCTAGGCCGCTCGTCATCCTCCATCTTCAATTAATCAAGTGAAGAAAAAATACGAGTGATCGAAGGTCCGCCGTAATGAGACTCAAAATAAATCTAGCGCCCTCCAATGTAATACTTCATTCGAAGGGAAACCCCAAAATCGGAAAAAACCCTCCCGCAACCAATCACAGCACCCGCAGCCCTCGTTACTCAATCCCGATAGCCCTCACGTGACCCAAACTCCAACTTCATCCGCCAGCATCATCGGCCAATCTTCCATACGCCTGTTCCAAAGATCTCCATTCCCAGTCTTCACAATGCCTCAGGATATGCCCCCATCGGGGGGCTATGCGCCTGTGCAGTACAAGGCAAGTTCTCAATTGCGAATTCCCCAACGGAAAATCCCAATCCACCGATCGAACTAACCCAAACCACAGCGCAACCTCCCTGCCCGCGGCTTCCGGCCCATCTACTACCTCGTTGGAATGCACCTCTTCATGGCCTACGGCTACTACAAGCTCTTCTACGGTATTCGCGAACAGCACGAGCTCGCCCGCGAGAAGATCTGGTCCCGACTGCACCTGGTCCCGCTGCTCCAGGCCGAGGAAGACCGTGACCAGGTCCGCAGACACTTTGCCGACAAGGCCCGTGAGAAGGAGCTCCTGGGTACGGAGAGCAAGGTCTACAACTCTGATCGGTACGTGGAAACCGTGGTATTGATACTCGGTGTGGCACAGTTAGCTGACCCTGTTTTGTCTTGCGTGTGCTTAGCTTCGTTCGTCCTACTTTCGTCTATACCCCTTCCAAGGTCACTCAATAAATGGAATGATATTTGTTACGAGCTGTGATGCCAGGCTCAATCGTCTCTCTATTACGCCAGATGTCATAATTCTGGTGCCATTACACGATTCCGAGGGCATTGAGTGGTGCATTGAAATACCGCTTGTCTTAGCGGTGTTTCACGGGAGTCAGATGTCTGGGGAGTCTTTAAGAAAAATGCGCCCTGTAGATATATTGCCTCTGGGGAGTTTACCTAGTTTTGCAATGCATTTCGTTTCTTTTCCGTCTTCCATACATGCCTGTGCCGTCGAGTCCAACTGATGTATCATGTCAGCTTGTGGCTACTATGTGAAATTTCAAAGTCGAATAGAAAGCAATCTATTTAGCTCTATTCTTCTGATAGCATTGAAAGGGTAATTATAGGAGAAAATAAGTACAGGCAGGAATCAGGAATCGAGCCTCTAGTACTGTACAGGACGAGTAGTTCCGAACACGAAGAACAGGGCCAGTCGCCGGCGGACACCTCTAACCAAACATGTCCGCAACACCACCCAAATCAGGTCCGTCATTGATGTCAACTTTGCTGATTTGTTGGCCTTCCATCTCGTTGCTCATATATCTCTCTTGCAAGGCACTCCGTGCCTTGCGGCGTTCTTCCCGGGAGCCCAAAATCTTGCCTTGCTCCGCAATACTCACGCCCCTGAGGCCTTCAAGAAGGTCTAGCACGAGTGCACGTTGCTGCCGCGCTGCCGTAGATCGTAGAAGCGCGTCTTCCGTACTTACCACCCGTTGTTCATCCATTCCAGGAAGGCTGAGGATCACCGAGCGCGGCGTTGGGCTACTCGACCCATAGAGAACCCAAATTGACGCGATCAGCTGGGCTAAATCTTTCTGCATGTCAACAAAGTAAGGCTCATGCACAGATGTAATGCAGGCCTTGAGAACTTCCGAGGAAATGAACTCGCGGATCGTGACTATTGTTGGGCTGTGATTTGGAGGCGCGAAGTCCTGCAAGATAGACCGGATAACACGAGTGATGATGCTACAGCACCTTGTATCTCGCATTCGAAGTGCATGTGTACAGAAGAGCATAACAGGTTCGAATATTTCCGGCGAAGAAAGAACAAAGTGCCGAATCGAGTCGGAAAGTGCTGGGGGTGGCTGCGGTGCGCTAGGCTCAGCTGGCTCGTCATCCGGATCTGCAACGAATGTTAGTCTTATGTCCTGCATCAAATTGTCACGACGTCAATTCACACACCGCCTCTTTGCGGATCCAAAAGACTTGCTACCATGAGCACTGCAGAATAAGTCAACTGGCGGAGGATACTCTCTGACTTCATTTCGTCAGTCAAATCCCCATCCGCAAGTCCCTCTTTGCGTTGCTCGATAAGGTCCCATTCCGCTGTGACTTTCCTGTCAATGTTGGTGAAGAGCGTTGCCAACATAGGAGGAAGGAACTGTGCTCGGAAACGGACAGGGCAATCGTCGATCAAGCACCTGGAAATATTGAGGAGAACAGAGAATTGGTGAGAGGATAAGTGTGGTGAGTCTTTAAAGAGAGCTTGCGACAGAGGCCCTGGAAGTTCTGCAAACCCGTAGAAATGCTCTCTCAACCTGCTCATGCTGAACAGCATTGAGTAACAAGATTCTCGAACAGCCCGAACCTTACCTCGAACGGAGGAAGCGAACCCTTCGAGCGAAGACCGCGATGCAGTTATCTTCGCATAGAACTCGTCGCGGCTGCCAGTAGATATGCCTGCCTGCCAGAACCGGTCGGTCAGGATACGTTCGACGACACCTCGCATATCATCAGGCAGGCCACCCCAGTTCGCCGGATTGTGGAAGGCATGAGCATTACTGCCGAACATACGTCAGCTAAGCACATCTAGCGGTATGGGGTACTTGCCTGACAAGCTGTAACAATACCGGCAAGATAATGGGAATGATGTCGTGCCAGATATTGCATGCAAGATCATAAGCAAGATCTGTCTTCTTTAATTTCTCAGTGGAGACTGCGAGCATGGTCTTTGTTCCCCTCAGAGGTAGTTGCTGGAGTGCGAGTTAGTGCAAAATTAGGTCCCAAATGTAAGCATAAACTCAGTACCTGAAATTTCCTTGTCATAGTTTCCTGGATCTGCTTCCCCTCATTATCCAGCAGCACTGCGGACCAGTCTTCCAGCTTCTGCGCTTGTTTCTTTTGCATATAGGGCCCGACATTTTGCAGCCCAAGCATGTCACAGAAGCCCTCGAAGGAGGAGCTTGTGCTCCGAAATTGTTCTTCTTGCCAGGCTTGCCTGATAGGCTCCAGAAAGGACTTCAGCCGGGTTTCACGCAGATAGGGATCGACATTGTTGGCACGTTGCCTAGCTAGTTAGCCCAGAGCTACAAGGACAGAAAGGGGATTCGAGATGTCATACATGATAATGAGGAGTATTGAGGTATGCTCCATGTGGAGTTTGTCGTCCACCCGGTTGGCCATGGTGATTTCCTTGATTTTCGGCTCAAGCAGATCGTAGAATGTCTTCCAGTTTCTTGTTAGT